CGCAAATTATCTGGATAACGAGCGTCAGCCGTAGCTGACCATCTATCTCGTTTGGTTGGCTGCTATAAATACAAGCTTTATGTCAGATAATGAAATTTTAGGTGCATATTAAGGTCAATATTCAAAATATCATATTGTTTTATCTTCATTTGATACACGTCATAATATCTGCTCGCCGATAACAAGAAAAAAAAATTCTGCCATAAAGCTTGAGCGAAAAGTGAAGCAATTTTTTTCCTTGTTATCGGCGAGCAGATATTGTAATGTGTATCAAATGAAGATAAAACAAATTGATATTTTGAATATTGGCATCAATGTGCACCTACAATTCCATTATCTGACATGAAGCTTTTATTTATAGTACTTTGTTCAACAACTCTTGGTCTATTCTGCTTTGAGTGAGTAGTAAGAGGCTGTGTTCATATAATAATCAATGTGAACGCATAGACGGAAGCGCCCTTCACTTTAATAGTGCGGTAATACGTTGGTGTGTGTATGCGTGAGGCCACTATGATTGCATTTTATATGAACACCGTTCACTCATTTTATATTCTATATCAAAAATACTGCACGGCACATTTTTGGTATACTCAAGATACGAAGAATATGCAAGAGAATAAGCCAAAATGCAGAATGATAAACCGAACCATGAGTTTTTATGCATAGAGATTGGTTGAGTTAGCGTACTATATTATGAAAAAAAAATGATAAAAATGTCTCTTTGTTTGAAAAATTGAAAAAAGATGAATAATTGACATGCATATTCATTTTTTAGGAAAACGTCTACGTGAAGAAAGTAATGGTGGCGATAGCAAGCGACATGCGCCAGAAAATAGACGTAATTTCATAGTTTATTTTTTGAATGAAAATTATGTTAACAATAATAATTTGTTGACAACAAAAATGTCAATAATAATAAAATATGATGCCATTTAGGTGGTGGTCCAGATCGGCGTCGAGATTTAACGGTTTTGATAAGAACAAGACCACACGAAAACCCAACATCCCACAATCCCAGTGCTCTGGGACCAAGAGCCGAATCCGTAAAATTGGAAGCCAATTATTTTGCCCTAAAATCGCGAACCGCTTGTAATCAGTGGAAAATTTACAAGTATCACGTTACTTTTGATCCCGAGTGTATGATGAAGCGAATGCAAATATTTTTGGTGGCTCAACATAAAAAAGATATCGGTGGTTTTCTATTCGATGGCGCTCAATTATTCACCACGCGAAATTTGCACGGTGAAAACAAATCAGTTAAATTTGTTTCGGAAACCAGAGACCAAACCGTTTATACAGTTGGAATGACCTTCACAAAAATTGTCATGATGAGTGAACAAGAATCACTGCAAGTTCTTAATTTAATACAACGCCGAAATATGATCGGGTTGCATTTGGAGCGGGTCGGCCGAAATTACTATGATCCACAAAATATGGTAATATAAACGCATATAGATTGCATTGCGAGTGACTTATTCTAAATGTAAACAAATTGAATTTTATTTTTCTCTTTCTTTTGCGCTAGGTTGACTTGAATCGATTTAGAATTCAGCTATGGCCCGGCTATGAAACGTCAGTGAGATATCACGACAGCGGAATATTACTTAATTGTGACATAGTGCACAAAGTGATGCGAACAGATACAGTTTATGAACTCATGCGAGAAATTCAACGTAGCAATCCGCAAAACTTTTCAAACACTTTTCGGCAAAAAGTAGTCGGATTGACCGTTCTAACCAGTTACAATAATAAAACCTATCGCATCGACGATGTCGATTTCGACATCACACCACTAAGCACGTTTTCTCGAAAAAACGTCGATGTCACCATCAAACAATACTATTCAGAGGTAAGCGAAATGAAATTTATTATGAAGACCGAACTCAATGACCACATTTGCATCGTTCTATAGAAATATCATATCGAAATAAGAGACGATTCACAACCATTATTGATTTCACAACCACGAGCAAAAGATTTGCGTGGTGGTGAACAAAAACCGGCATGGCTTGTACCGGAACTTTGCCGTATTACTGGCTTGGATGATAGACAACGCACTGATATGAAGTATGTCCGATATTCGATGGCTGCTAATCAATAATTATCTATATGATTATATACACAATTGTGTATATCTCTTAATCTCTTAAGAGATTCTGTTCTTAACACATTCACACTTAAAATTTCGTTGCTAGCATGAAAATGGCACTCCGACCCTATGCTCAAATGGAACCGCGGCTTCGCAGGCAACGTCTGCTTGATTTCTACAATCGTATCCAAAGTAGCGAAGATAACAAAAAAATAAAAGAAGAATGGGGACTACAGATTCAACCGGATCTTGTACAAATTAACGCCTATTGCTTGAAGGCTGAAACGTTGACTTTTGGCGACAAGAAAGAGCTACAGTATGTTTTGAACATATGCAATTACAACAGTGTTCTGTATGTTTCATTTCAATTTTTCAGAGTGAATAGGGCCAGCTGGGAGAGAGATACTGGTCGAGGACCTTACACGATCTACTCACCACAAACACTAACACGATGGATGGTAGCTTGTCCGCAATCGATCGAAAGAGAGATGCAGCGATTCGTTAATCGTCTTCGAGAATTCGCAGCAAAAATGAAATTTCCTATTAAAGAACCACGCTGGTAAGAACCGTTATTTTATTTTCTATAAATGAAGTTAACTTTTGCGTTTTTATTTCAATAAAAGGTGCATGTATGATAGTGATTCTGAAATGGTACGTGCGATTGACCAGATGGCAAGCAACGGACCTAAATTCATATTATTTGGAATGTCAACAGATAGTCGACGCAATTCTGATTCGTAAGTATTGTTATCTCAATTTTATCATTCAATATACTTATAAAAGTTTGAAATAAAAAAAAAGGAATTAATCTTCACTTTCATCAACAGATATTCAGCAATAAAAAAGAAATGCTTTGCCGATAATGCCATTTTATGTCAAGTTGTGACCAAATTCATTCTGGGCAGTCAACCAAATAAATATGATTCAGTGGTAACCAAGGTGGCCATTCAAATTTGTTGCAAATTGGGTGGTGCACCATGGCGTCCACGAGTTCCAATTAAAACTGCAATGACTGTGAGCTTTCATTTAGCGAAAGATACGGTCAACAAAAACGTCTCATATGCCTGTTTAGTGGCTACAACGGGCGTTGAAGATGAAGTGAGTTTCTTCAGTACAGTGAGCAAAATTGAAGGCCCAGATTGTAGCCGGGAATTAACGACAAGCTTCATAAAAGCCTTGAATTTCTATGAAAACAAGCATGAAACATTGCCATCCATCATATTTTTCTATCGTGATGGTGTCAGTGAGGGTGAAATTCCATATGTTTTTAACATTCAATTGAATCACTTAACAGAAACGCTTGCTAAAAGATATGAAGCCAAATCCATGGAATTTAAGATGGCATACATACTTGTTAGTAAAAGAATCAATACACGCTTCTTTCAAAGCAACGGAAGTGCCGTCAACAATCCATCTCCTGGAACTGTCGTTGACAATACAGTGACTCTGGAAGAACGCTATGAATTCTTCTTGGTTTCACAAAGTTGTAATCAGGGAACAGTTGCTCCTACTAATTACCATGTTATATATGACACTACCGGTCTTACACCAGAAAGAATGCAAGCATGGACATTCATTCAAACTCACGTGTATTACAATTGGTATGGCACCACTCGAATTCCAGCCACTCTGCAATATGCAAACAAATTGGGCTTCTTAATATCGAACCACGTGCATCGCGTTCCCAATGAAAATTTGAGTGACAAACTGTACTTTTTGTAAACGCACATTTACAAATTTATATTTCGAGTACTGGTGGTGCCACGAACTAACTTATTATTTTGTATTGAAATTTGGGTAGATCATGAGTTCGCCGCAACTTTCAAAAATATGTCATCACCGTGCCTATTTGCTACAATCTCGGCTACAACACTTATTAGGTATAACATACATTTAGATGATCATTTCGTTAATGAGAATAACACATTTTCACATGGCTCTGGTGTGTATTTTGAAATTTCATTTTTTCATTCGTGAAAAAATTAATTTTTTCTACAGAAAATCAATCAGTAAATTCTTCACACATTATTAAGACATTGCAATATATTGCACTTTTTATTTTTGAAAATATGTAGGGGAATAGGCTTAGACAATCACAACCGGTACACTCTGTGACTGAGTTTAAAAGTTAATTTGTTTATTACAACGACAAAGTATACAAGTTTCATGTTCTTTAGATCACTGTGTCAAGAAAATCCAGATGACGCTATCAGTGGTGAATCTCTGTGTTGCGATGATATCGATAGGCTAAATTTATACAAATACTTATGAATATCTTTGAATCTTGATCTTTTGCGATCTTTATGGGTGAAGTAAAAACCTTAAATCGGAATACTGTATCTGCAATGCGCAGCCATAACAACAGCGAGTATGAATTAG